CTTAGAGGGCTCACCTCATCTCCATATGAGATAATAAACTGAATGTACCCAAAAGAGACAATAAAATGTAGTTTTAAAAGAGATAATAAACTCTGACGTTTAAATTGAGACAACAAATCTTAGTATTTCAAAAGAGATAATAAAATTAGACAAAGTAGCAAATTCAAAAGAGATAATAAATTTTAATTAGAATAATAGAACAATTAAAATACATTGTTTAACTATAAAAATATGATGTTCTTATAGCTATGTTATCTCGCATGAATTTCGCCTTTCTCGAACGGCTTTCGTTTTTCCCGAACTGTGATCGCTTCCGGCGTCAAGAGTGCACGTCGTCTGCTCTGTTGAAGTACGACAGTTGATAGGGTGACTTGAGTACTACTAATAATCAAAAAAAGAATTTCAGAAACTACACTGCCGCTGACATTGCTGAGCGCCAAAAGTCCTCAAAAAGCAAATATCGTAGATAATTTATATTGTACACTACATGACTCATCCGCTATCGCACTTAATCGATAAGAGATCTAGAACTTCAGCTTTTGACAGTAGAAAACGCGGCTGTGAACTTTAACTGTGTTTGTTAGGAGAAGGGGTTTGCTTCCGCTCCGCTACGAAATATGATGCCGCCGTTGTAAAAGATGAATATGATCTTAAAACAATATAGCGAAAAGAGATTTCACTGTGTAACAACTGCGACACTGACAAAGTAGTTCTCTATGAAGATAATTATATAAAAATCTTTCGTCAGCTGACCAAAATTCGCCTTACTTCGATCACTGATGAAACTGTGGTTGTATCTTCGAGAGTTGAGTGAAATTTACCGGAAAAGAGTACCTTTTTCGACTTTGTTGAAGATCTGTATGTCACGACAAAAGTACAGCTTCAGCCCAGCCTCATCAGTGATAGCCTTATTTGGTCAGTTGACGGAAGTTACACAAAACTTTGGCTAATTGACGAAAATCATGCAAAACTTTGGTTATTGGCGAGAGTCCGACAAAACTTTGGTCAATGACGAAAGTATAGGTGACGAAAGTCTCAGTTGACCAGTTTCTGGTAACTCGATTAAATAAAGAAATGTTTTGGGATCATGATAATGTCATTTAATTTAACTCTCGCTCATTCTTGAGGGTGAACATAGAATTGCGAGTTATTGATAAAATGCGTGATTCTATAACGATGACATTTTAGCTATTAAAGCGTCAATTTCGGAACTAGAAAAAACATTTTCGTAATCGATAGCCTATGGACTACATTGCCAGCAAACGTAAAGAACGGAGATTAGCTGAGTTTTCGACAAATTTTAATTGTTTCGGATTAGTCATTCCAGTTATCGTGATTCCCTAATGGTCGATATTTTTCTGATAAAACTCAAACCATACGTCCAAACTTAACCGTAATGTTAGAGATTACCGAGCACGGTGTTAGACAGAATTAATGAGAATTTAAGACCTTATCTTTTAAATTGACTGAGAATTACAGTCAGAAGCGGAGAAAATGTGAATTCGTTACGCTTATTGTAGCGCTTATCTAGAATTTGAAACACCGCATCGACATTGTATTTGTAAGTGTTATGAAAACATTAGTTTAAGTCAATTGTATTATTTGTTATAATTATCAGCAGTGCGCAAAATTGTAATGGAGAATTTTTGTCTTCATTTTGTTTCATAATGCGCACAGAATGCTCCACATGAGATAGAAAATATTGTTGATGATACAAAACGAACAGAATGGTCAAGGTTTCTTCATCTACTACTGTACTGTTTTCTGAAATCCGATAGATCTTTGCACTCATATAATGATACCGTAGATTGAAGTAGAACTAGTTTATCGTACGTACTGTTGTATAAAAGACTGCTATGTTTTCTCTATGCAATGATTGATATGGAATGTTATAACAACTGGTACAATTGAGTAAAGAATTTTGTTTCTTTCTTCGGTATATTTCGTGCTTTCTTCGTTTGTCGCTAGGCTCACAGAAGGAGATGTAGAATGGCGTACATCCCTCTTGTTTTGTATGCTATTACTTTCTCCGGCGCACGATCTTCCTGTCAACTATTTTCTTTTTTAAGTTGAAATTTATTTCATGTGCTTGCAAAAATCCATACCTTTCTTAACATGCTTTTGATACAAGATTGACAAGATTTTTAGAGACAAAACATCTTGGTATTGTTGTAAAGTCAAAATGCGAAAACAATACCGTTAGTCTGCGCTAAGTTCAAAGAAAAGTAGCTATGAAATAGTCAAATCTTTGTTCAATTTCTCATCCCTGTTTGCTCACTTAGATTCTCACTGTCATCCTCAGCGTTTGTTCCAATAATTAACGAACGTTGATAAGAATTCAAGTTTTTGATAGAAAACTTTGGAATATTTGGAGCATCACCTACAAGCAAACGTATACAACCTCAATAGAAGTCTTTTGAACTTGAATATCGTTCCTTACTTGCAATATGTAACTCTTGACTCCAATGTGTTGTAGTACAATTACTGATGACACATTTTTTTCGTAATTTTCGAAACTCATCTAATGTCTTATAGTTTTGACCTTCACTAACAAACGATGTCGGACTCATACTAACATACGCAACAATTCTTATTAAATCATATTTCATCTTGTGGGATGGTATTTTAAATGCCGGTGTATTACAATGAATGACACGACTATCCCATACAACAAGATCGCCAGCTTTACATTTGACTAGTTTGAAGACGATTTTTTCAGATGAATTGATTTGTTTTAAAATTTGATGTTCGGGTTGAATTTTGACATAATCATGACCAACATCCCAAGGTGGAATCAGACCCACTAATTCAGAAAAACGGTGGTGCGATTTTGGATAAACAATAAGGCCACCAGTCGATTCATCATTATCAGTTATGGCCACAAGACCTTGTACACAACACTGATTCGGCTTTTTAATTGGGTGCTGGAAAAACAGAAAAGTTTTTTATTGAAATGCAACATTTCTTTCGTTGAGTTAAACTAGTTTACTTGGTCGACATGAATCCAGCCGTTGCTTGTTTTCCAAGAGTCATCGTAAGACCAGTCCCGAAAACATCCTGCTCCATCGAATGAAACTAGTAATTCATTTGTTTGCCAAATGTCTGAGAATACTTTTTTGATATTTCGATTATTTCGAACGCTCCAGACAAATTTGGATTGTCCAATTCCTTGATCGTACAAAATTCCCGTATATGACATACCTGGCCTGAGATAGGAAAAGACTGAGATGTTTGTTATTATTGTATGTAGTCTCTATCTACTTAAACCTACCAATTATCACTCCATGTTTCAGGTTTATCTCTTTTAATGTGACTATTGGGTAATTGCTCTAGAAACTCCCATAATAAATCTTTGTTTGTTTTTATTTCATCGTCACTTAAAACATTGCTAAAGACGGCATAACCATTTTCATGCAGATAATCCACGCCTTCTTGCACTGAAGTTGGAGAACTAACAGAAAAACGTGGTATGGGTTCTGTGTAGTCAACTTCAAATCCATTTTTGTCATATTCAGTTGTCTTCGAGTGAGATCCGATAATCACATCTTCAGTTATTGATAAATTCTCCATCTAGAATAGGATTATGACACATGAACATGATCTGTTTCAAAAAAAATGTCGAACGTTAAGAAATAATTGCGAAAAAATGTTGAAAGTTAAGAAATAATTGCATAATAGTGACCGGTGTTTCACATACTTATTTTTTGTTCGTTCTTTGTAGTTGATTTTGTTTTGTTCTTTTCCTTATATAAAATATTCGTATGAGGTTAATATTCATATTTCTTCATTTATATATCTGTCAATGTATAAATATGTTCTTGGAAGACTCTTATTTCTTTCATTTCAGAGAAGAATCTTTAAGTTTGTTTTGAATCAGGCAAGATTCTTGTTTTTATTTCTCAGAATCAACAACTAGGAAAGAGTAGGGTGAATGTCCCTAGTTGCAACGAGGATTTGATGTATTCGTTTCCATCCCTAATTGTGAAACATTTTCGCATAAAACCAGAAATAGTTTTTCTTGATAAGGGAAATGAAGAGGCCCGGACTCATTCGAATATTATCAAAGCAGTTTTGTATAAACTCTCCTGTCTTTTAGAAAAAATCATACCAGAAAGAGAAGCATCGCGAGAGGGCACATGTCCCACACTGAGAAAGAGACAGTCTGTCAATTTCATAACCTGATCTACATAAAGATTTTCCGAAGATACATACTATGTCAACAGCGTTTCCTCTTGAACAAATCACAACACAGCAGGAAAACAGTTCGTGAATGTAAATATAGGCTTAAGCTTCTTTATCATCTAAAAGAAAAAACTTATGCGAGAATATGAAAATCAAGTAATAGTACTTTGTAATACATTTTTGCTAATAATGAACAGCCGAAACCGTGTCTTTTTATTTCGGCACTCTCATAAAAACTACCGATAAAGGTTTCTTTTATAGGGCTTTCATTGAGTCGACCTCTTACATCGATTGCAGTCATGTTGTCATCTTTTTCATTACTATACTATTTTACATCGGTCTCAGATATAATTTACTTTTTTTGCTTATGCTTGGGATGGATTCACTTAGAAGTCCATGTGACTCACAAAGCAGCATAAAATGATCACAAATGCGTGATAAAATTAAAAAAAAGTGAAAAAAAAGTGATAAAATTATCATTTTACTCACACATAGTCACTTCTGCATTCTGTCTTCTCTTGCGGATAGATCACGTTATAAAGGAGAATATCTAAAGAGAGGAAACAGAACATTGCTTAATATATAAAGATCTAGGTAGATATAAACTGTTTCGTAATTACACAAGAACCAAGTAATTTCAAAACAAACATTGTCATTCTTATCGTATCATATTAGTGTATAGAAATTTCTTACTTACAGAATAATAATCCTCTAAGAAGATGCATCTGTGTTTTATTTAAAATCATTTTTTACTAATGTTTCTTACTTCATTCCTTACAGACAAGAATAGGTTTGCATCAGTTCCTAACAATCAGCTCCAGTTCTTATAAGCGGAACTGGTAGGAACCGGTGCATGCGTAGAGAAGAACCATATGGGTTTTCGCATAATTAAGAAACAATGTTATGGAAAAAATATAACTACGGAACCATCAATGTCTAATGATATAGGGGAGGAATACACTGTAACACAGGTCGAACGATACGGTCCATATACGGACGGTCCATATACTGGACGCAGGAATACGGCCCGTAACATCATTAAAATAGGGTCGTATACGGCCGTATTTTCACAGTATACGGCCCATAAACGGTACCGTTTCTGGGCACAGTAATACGGGGTCGTTTATTGTGAAAATACGGCCGTATACGGCCCCATTTTAACGATATTACGGTCCGTATTCCTGCGTCCAGTAGACGGTCCGTAACGGATAACCGCTTTGGTCGACCTGGGAATGGGAATTAATTGGTACTCGACAATCGAATGATTATGTAGTGAATTAAATGCATCATTTATTAAGGAAGTAGTGTGAACATTTAACAGCGATATTTCATTGTGAACGTTCATAGATATAATTTATTAATAATACGAAACTGAACGTGTTATTTGTGCGGTAAATAGATATGCTAAACTCAATAAGCCACCATCTCAATCAAAAGGTGTAAAATCTAAAGTAATTCTTTCAATTTATTCAATAATAAATAATGAATGTTCAGTACGTGCTCAAGAACTTTAAATTTAAAAAATACAATAACAACAAATGGTAAACATCAATTTCATTTTAGAACAGTGGAAAAGCACTAGTCGAGAAGAATCAACAAAATGCTGTATAGGTAGAAAATCATGGAAAGAACAAAAAGAAATTATGATCAAAAGAATGTTTCTCAATTAACATTTATTTAAAACCGAATAGGGGGGGGGGGGGGGGCGGGGGGGGGGGGGGGGGGGGGGGGGGGGGGG